GTTCGTATGAATCTTATTTTGCCCAACGTGTTTTAGTGCATCATGAAATAAAGGTAAACACCCCCCATGATCTGCATTGACGACTCCTCCTCACTGAGTGTCAGATATCTCCAGGTTCAGCTCTGATTGCAGGACCATACTCAGAGTGAAGCACCCCCCCACCTTCACAATTGAAGTTATTCTGGAATAACTTAATCATCTACCCAACAAACTTTTTTTTTTCCCTTTACACTATTGCATAATTAATAATCCGAGAGACGGTTAGAGGGCTGTTTAAAGTCCCCACATCCTCTGTGCGGTATCTCCACATGCTCTGGCTGCCCCTTCTCATTGAACCAGCATGGAGATGTTCATTGATGTCTACACACCCTGTTCTCTGTGCACAAACAACAAAGATATGTATTAAGGGAATATGATTGGCTTATTTACTTGTTTACATTCTCTCTAAACTACATGCCAGATTCTCATTGAGTGAATTCAGTCAATTTTTTGCTCCGTCCTTCTACATTAGCAAAACGCCCGGGGTCAGGAAGCGGCTGGTGGCTCAGTTGCGGAATGAGGCCCATCTGTCTGCCCTGCTGAGGCGTCTTATGTTCCTCAGTTACTTCGTTTAGTCCCCGACTGCATGCCACTGACCTCCATTCTGCAATACTGAGATGCCATTTGGGTGATTCTTGGCCTAGGATCACTCCTTCTGCCACTCATCAATCAAGAGCACAACCGCAGATGCAGTATTCATCATATTCTACCTCTTTTCTCATATACTATTTTTTGCATATGCATTTCCATATATTATTTTCTTTTCCATACATTTTCTTTCAAACTTCTGGATGGGTGCCCCAGAGGTTTGTGAAGCATCACAGGGAGAAAGCAAAGTTGTGTTCCATTATGCTCTGTAGATGTGCATCACAGGCAACCAGCAATGTCAGCAGTCTTGAAAGGGTGCTGGTCTCCACAGTGTGGTGATGGACAGTTGTGCTCTTGTCCTTGTCCATGTCTAACCAAATATGCAATGGCTACAATTGAGTATTGTTACTTTGATCTGCATCTACGACAACCACATTAAAAGGTCAACATGTGGGCCTCCATAAAAACGATGAAATGCTGGTCTTCAGATGATAGGTTCAGTGGTCCTTCTGTGTCATGCCAATCAAGGGAGGCTGTGAGAACTCGTCTTTTGGATTTTGTTTCCATTTGTTGGATGGTAGCTATGGTCCACCAGACATTTCTCACACAGAATGGGTTACTTTAGCCGACGGTTATCAAAACTGAATCAGTCAATCAGTAACCTTTTTGTTCTTGTTTTTGTTTACCATTCTCCCGAGAATGAGCCCATAATGAGCTTGGTCATTAAAATTGCACATCGTTGTCAGAACAAGCATAAAATGTATTATTTATGTAAAATGATTAGGCAGCAGCATCGTCATTAATATTTATCCCAGCAATGACATTATTAACACAAGCCACAGATGGTGATTTCAGTCATAATGATATTGTCTGTCTCTCGCTGCTTCTGCTTTTGATCTCCCAGCTCTGTTCCTCTGCATCTGTGCTTTATTGGGCCAATTACTATCTGTACTGAACAACAATCACTTGTTGCTACCGAAAAACAGCAAAGGATCTTGGGCTTTAAACCACCAAGCTGTGGAGAGATCCCAGTTCGGGAGCCAAAGATATGATTGGCTGAAGAGGTTGGAGTTCTGTGCCAGTGTGTTGAAGGTCCTCATTTCAATCTTGTGACTGCTAAGTAAATTTTAGTTGCTGTGGGGTGGTGTTTAGCTCTGTGGCCATAATCAGCTGGTTGCTGGTTCAAACCTCATTGTTCACAGAGTGATTTGAGTGGAGTCCCTGAACCCCTATTGCTGCAGGGACTGAGTAGCCCTGCTTTCATGAAGCATCTGCTAAATCTAAATGTAATGGAGATGCTCTTCAGTTGAATTGCTTGGGCCTTATTCCCTAATATAAAATCCTTAATATCTAACTGTCTGGGTGAAAATCGTCCAGATAATGGTGTCCACTGAACCTTTGGGACCAGTGTGACAGGAGGAGCGAAGAAGCGACAGGGATTTGATCTAGCGATTGGAGTTGGAAAAAAGGCAATTACTTGGCTGGATTTGAGCATCAAAGTATGGGTGCCTTTGAGTATGGCTGAGTATGGGTGCCTTTGAGTATGGGTGAGTATGGGTGAGTATGGGTGCCTTTTACTGGCAGCAAAGAAAACCATCATAATGTTATATATTCCTATAAACAATTATACATGGAACAGGTGAATGGAGTTACTGGACTCCTGATTCTGACCCACCCATACACTCATAATGAACCACCCAAACTCATTAAAAACGTACCAATTTGTACCATTGAGGGTACAATATTTGTCCCTGGGGATGTACCCTCAAGGGTCTGCACCCTTAGTGTAAGCAAATGTACCTTTTAAGGTATAGAAATCGACTCCGAGGAACCATAGGGATACCTTGATGTTGTTTGTACCTTGGGGAACAAAACTGTACCCTCTTTTCTGATAGTACTGTATAGGATACTCCCACCCCAGGATATCTGTACCCGTCTTACAAAGATTAATGTAAAAAATCCAGGATTAATCAGTTTCTATAATAATTTCCTCTCTACAGAATGTACTACTTGTGAATTTTCAAATCAATCTCCCTTTTTATTAAAGCATGCTGTCGAATACCCATACAGTAGGTGCTGCTATTTGTTTCTGGTTGATAAAGAAAAGCCATGTTGTGTCTAGTCTGTTTTTAATCCTATTAGTGTCCCTGAATGGTGTCAAGAGGTTGCTTTTAATTATCAGCTCTGACCAGCGAGACCAAGAGACATTAAAAGTACAGTTTTTTTTTTATGTCTAAGTAGGTTGTTGATTTCCCACACCGGGCTGTGCGCTGTGTATGAGTAAGTAATGCTGCAGTCACTGGGGCCTGCAGCTCATCTTCTTGCTCATCATTTCGGCCTGAATATGGGGGATAACCATCTTCAATCCGGACAGGATACACACACTGCATCTGGCAGCAGAGCTTGACGCCCAACCAACAGCCGTCCCATTAAAATGTCCAAAAATGTCCTGGAGGGCGCGGTCTCTGAAACATGGAAAAATGTTCTGATGAAACCTTGCAGAGAGGGGGCATACTTACCAGTTAGTCCCAGTGCTGGTTTGACATTTTTTAAACATGATTTACAAACAGGTACAAATTGCTTGAGGGACAGGGATACTATAGACTTCAGAGCAATCTATGTTTGCATTAGATATAGCAAATCCTGTTTCATCCCCTGTCGAACAGAAGCAGGATGGCTGTGTTTTGGCAGATTGTCTTTTCAATGTTCCTCATTTATTTATTTTCTGAAATTTTTTACTTCCATTTTTCCCATAATCTGTTTGTTTCATTTTGACCTCCCCAAGTGGCCTTGCCGTTCTTTCGGTTCAGGGTCTTGTGTTGTGAGGGACCCCTCTGGGCGATTATTCTGAGCGATATCTGAGCGATTTGTTTTCAGGGTAGAGTAGGACAGTGGAGAAGGTCGATAGCCTGCCCCTTCCTCAAAAGCATTCTGCGTCCCTGAGCACTATGTTGGTGACTCAGGTCGGTCGTACGTATGACCCCAATCCCCGCCACCCATCATGGCCTGCTTAAAGGTCCACAATATCGCATTGTCTTATGATGTGATGTCTGGGAATAGTATACAGTAATTCCTAGGTGGCTCAGTTTCCCAGTCCATTCCTGGAGGACCCAAAGCCAGTCCATGTGTTTGCTTGCTCCAGGCTCCCTGCCAGAGAGTTCACGTTTTTGCCTACTGGGAGCTGGGAGGGAGCGAAAACTTGGACTGCCTGAGGGTCCCCAAGGACCAGACTGGGAAACACTGGCATACAGCATCCAACTAGCAAATTTACTCCATGGAAAATACCCACTGATTGTAAATGCCCTGCTTCCCCAGTCCCCAGCTAGAGCTCATTGACCTGTCCTGTGTAATATCCAGACTTTAGATTGGAATGAGCAGAATTAGACCTTAACTAGACAGACTGCAGTGTTTGTCCAAAGATATTTCATGCTTTCTGAATACGAGCCAGATGAGCACAAGTTGGGAGACAGAAAACTTCTATCTGCTAATTATGGACAAAAAAACAGGATAATTTCTTCTCTATTCTTCTGACCACGGCACCTCCCAAGCTGAAACAGGGAAGGGAAAATAACAGAGCAGCACTTGCTGTTGCACAGAACCGATCCAGGGCAACAAGCTGCTTTCTGGTCTCACTGTTTACAGACACGAGGCTCAGGGTCAAATCGATATCAGCCTCTGCAGACATTTACCACCAATGGCTCTTGTATAACTGAAATAAACTAAAACACTGGAGCCATTTTGCAAACCCATCGCAAGGAAGGAAAAAACAAGACTCAGGAAACAGTCTTATACAAATCCATTTTTTTTCCATTCCTATCTTTCCATTTTCAAGTTTATCGCAATTGCAGGGTAGGGGACAGCTGCATGGGGGGGGGGGGGATGTAATAGGACAAAAAATAGTGCAAACAGGACACACAGCGATGCAATAAAAAACAATCCCAAAAATCTTTAACAGTGAGATTTAGCAGTGCCTGTCTCAAAGTGGTTTAGAAAATGGTTAAGTTATGTCATGGTATAAGGCAACCAGTGGCATTTACATGGTGAAATAACCTACAAACTGTTGATGCTGGAATGTCATGCATCCACACTGGCATGCTTACAACAGCAGCTGGGGGAGCTTCCTTCTGGAAATGATCCTAATCCGTCTATAAATGTTTTTCGGCAATTTTCTGTCTTTAAACAACACGACTAAAGGTAAACATATTTGTCCACCAAGAAGTTGAAAGGACCTTTCCAGAAGTCGTTGATAAATGTTATTGCTGTAGAGCAGGCGCCATGCTGCTCGTGAAACCCGAACGCTGCAGATGTCAGAAATTTATTTTGTTATGAAGACACATTGTAGTCATACACTCTGCCTCTACTTTTGTCCACAGAGCTGGCCTTCTCCTGGATCTTTAATGAATACCCATCGTTTGTGAGACAAGACAGCCGGCGATTCGTCTCCCAGGACACAGGGAATCTGTACATTGCTAAGGTGGAGCGTTCAGATGTGGGCAACTACACATGCGTAGTGACCAACACAGTGACGAAGACGAGCGTACAGGGCCCTCCGACACCTTTGGTCTTGCGAGTTGATGGTAAGGACCAGATCAATGCTTAGTCTGAACACCACTCATTGATCATAATTCAGTTATAGCGCTTTTCCACTGCCATACAGAGACCGACCCATACCTGAGCCGTACCGCGAAGAGAGGCTACTTACAGCACGGATCCAGCTTGCTTCAGTTTTCCACTGCAGAATAGTCGACTTGGTTAAGGCGTCACCGATTTTGGAGAGTGACAGTGATGAAAAAAACGAAGAGGCACTTATTTTCTGTTCAGACACTTTACATCATGATTTACTGTGCACTAATTTTCAAATTTTCTAGCACATCTGTGAGAATCACTGTGTTAGCATCAAAAAATAGCAGATATAGTATTCGTTTGCGTAAATTTGCATTACAAATTCATTCAGCTGTACTTTTGTAAGTAGGAGTTTGTAAATTTTGGAAGTTTTCAGGAATGCAACAGGAATAAATCGCAATGTGCAATACTACTAATGAATAATAAATAGAATAAATCCTTTTTTACTTTGGATAATCCATGCACAGAACACTGGTACCTCTGTGCATTTCGAGCAGTCAGATGCAGCTGAGGCAGCCTGCTTGGTTTGGTCATGCTTTCTAGTAAGCAGGACCTCATCAGCGCAGTTACAGTTTGGGTACGGCTCACATACTTGGGATGGAAAATGGAAAAGCGCCAGTTTGCGTTACAGATCAGGTACCGTTCAGTTCTTAGTGGCAGTGGATCCCACCAGCACACCTGAAGCTTCCAATCTTCCAGTTCTTGCCTACTGTTGCTTGTGCATATAAACATACACCAGATCACTCACTGGTCCTGTATTGACCAGACATGCTTGAGTCTTATCAACGATAGATATCTTGTTCCTCACTCATCTCATGAAAGCGAAATGACTGAAAATCATTATTATCATTAACATTATTATAATGGTAAGTATAAGCATTAAGAATGCTGTGTACTGCATTATACTGTAAAGGAATCTGTTGTGCATTAGAGCTTCATAAGGCAGTCATTATGCATAATAAACATGAATGTAATATGTTATGTTTTTTTATAACTATGTACTGTATAGCCTTGTTTATAATATTTTATGAGAGCATTATAATGCATTATTAATGTGTTCATAAATTACTAAACACATGGCCTTAAGTGCAGTATTGCCAAAATCATTAAGAAAAACAGGTTCTCTGTGTGAAATTTTAAATTGTGGGGGCAGGACCATATATAAAAAAATATATAAACATAACACTTTCTGTTAACACTTTACTTGAGGGGGCACAAAAAATGTAGTAGTACATTCTTACTTAATGTATAAATTCACCAGAAACTAACTGTTAGTTATGTACTGATCCTGTGTTCGTTCATCATTAACCAATCATAATGATTCATGTAGTCACTATATTTGTTCATGATTTGTACTTGGTTAGTAACTAAGGTACTTGTGCTCCCTCAAGTAAAGTCGTACCAGCTTCCAAAGAAAGTTAACTAAGAAGCTACAAAAGTACAGTAGGTCCAGGGTTCACAGCAATGGAAGAGACACTCCATGGCCCCGTGGGAATAAAAACTGGACACAAATGTTAACAAGCTATCCTGCTCCGTGGCTGAATGCGATGAATGGTCCGAGTTACTTATGCTGCAGCGGTGCCGGCCGTAGCTAATCAACAGCCTTTTCAAGGTAAAGGTCATGTGTCTCTCAGGGCCATAATTGGTATCTGGTTGTCATTCCCGTGCATGCACAATAGAGGGGAAAAAAATAAAAATACACAGCAAGACACGACAATTTAAAATATTTGTATTTAAAATCCTATATGTGTGAATATGCACAGTATGCATCTCTGATATTATTATGTGACATAAAAGCACGAGAAAAAGCATATATTTGCAACATGTTTTGGCATATTTGCCCCATACTATTGCTGTAATTGGACATTTCATTTTTAAGAAACACATGCATGTAGAATTTCACAATGTTTTGTCATATTTAGGGTATAGTTATGGTCCTTTTCTTGGAAACCAGTGAAAATACATTGTTAAGAGAATCTGGGTATTGTAAATACATTCTGGATAAATATAATCTAGATCCAGCTAGATCCAATTGCATATTTCATTAATGTAATTTAGATCCATCTAGTTTAACAGAACGTTATCCATCTGAATTCGTCTCTTTTTATGCAGCAGTGACAGTCACAGGCAGCTCTGTGGACACCTTGAATTGGTTCAACTGAAATGCATTCAATAAAGCTGAGAACATTACATGTATGTCTGTGGGCATTGACTGACTGAGGATGATGTCCAACCTTCAGGTGTCATGGGGGAGTATGAGCCAAAGATTGAGGTTCAGTTTCCAGAGATTATCCCAGCGGCCAAAGGTTCGACGGTCAAACTGGAGTGTTTCGCCTTGGGAAAGTAAGTCTTTTAAGGTTCAGTTTTATTTCAAAATCATGAAGACCTTGACTGCAGGGAATAAAAACACTGGCAAGACAAGCCATTACGCAATGTTTGTGAAACACTCTTAGCTGTAAGGTATTGTTCAACAAAGAGCTCGATGGCACTCAGTATTATGTAAGGTGTGTAACTATCAAGCAGTTTTTACAGGTACAAAGTTTCTGCATTTCACTGCTACTTATAAGTTTATGAATCTGGAAAAAAAAACAAGAAGCTGGAATGTCTTCACTTGTGCTTTATTTCTTGTGACTCTCCACAACCAGCCCGGTGCCCACGATTAGCTGGAGACGCGTCGACGGGATTCCGTTTCCCCGGAAGGTGGATGTGTCCAAGGCCAGTGGTATACTGGAGATCCCATACTTCCAACAGGAGGATGCCGGCACATATGAGTGCATGGCGGAGAACTCCAGGGGGAAGAACGGTGTGCGGGGAAAGCTGGCCTTCTACGGTGAGCGAGGATGCAGTGTGTGAATATTTGGGGCTGGTCGCTGGGGCATGCAGGAGGTGCACTCAGAGTAGACGGATGGAGCAGTGCTGGTATTAGAGTCACTAGAACAATCATGAGCGGCTTTCTCTGCTTTTTAAAGAAATCACGTGTTCTCTGAGCCACAGAATAAGACTCAGTATCAAGCACTGAATTAGTTTTTTAATTTGTCACATGCTCTCGTTCTTTGAAATCACATGATAACTATTTTCTCATTTCACCAAAAGTCGTTAAAATACCTGAAACATTTTCACTGTTAGACACAGAAATAATTAAATCATAGAACTGTTCGCACCATAAACGTACCTCATCATCATGGTCTTTTGGGTCGTGAGGGATTTCAACATTATTACAGCTGCATTACAGCCTGTTCATATTTGCAATAAATGTGCTCCTTTTATTCTTATTTTTTGGGATTGGAATACAACTGCTTAGGTAAAAATTCAATAATCCATGTGTGGCACAAGCAATAACGAATGGTAGGGTTTTCAAAATACAACATTTATTTCTCTTTCAAATACACATGTTCAGCCCTTAAAGGCAAGTCAAGAAAAGTTCACCAGGTCCAAAGTGTCCCCAGGTTCAGGCTCACCGGTAAAAAGGTGTCTCTCTGGACCTGTAGATTGCGAAATTGGGCAGTTTCCTGTGTTCCTGAACTTTCAGAAGCCCCCTTAAGGATTCTGATAAGCAGAAATTCATTATTTGAAGCTGACAGTAGCACTGCAGTATGTTGGTTGAGTAGCTGTCCATGGAAGTAAACTATCTCTGCTTGTAAAATACTTAATAGGGCTACTATTCATGGTCGTGAACTCACCACATACTTGTAAAGTGTTGGATGGGCAGCTATCCATTGTCCTGAACCCTCTGTAGACCTGTAGGGTGCTGGATGAGTAGCTTTCCATGCTCTTGACATTTTTCTTTGACTTGAAGGTGTCTGAGGAGCAGCTGTCCTTGGCGTTGAACTTGCTGTAGCACAGAAGGGGGCTGAAGAGACACCTGGGAATCCTTAATGCCATGCAGTCGAGTGAAAAAAAGACATTTCCTGTGGCTGATATGCAGTGCTTGAGCCATTGTTTATGACACATATGTATTTGACTGTGTTGCAGGGAAAATAAATAAGTCAATCAATAAATGAAACCGAAAGAACGTAAAGTCATGCACTTGGCCGAGATTTTCACATTACTGGTAAAATTGCAGCATCAATCAAGCTGTGAGGCAGCGATCTGATGTTATTCTGGCTGATTAACTGAGAAATGCAGACCAGCAGACGGATCTAACCATGACCTTGCGAGGGAGAAACCTCCCATTTTCATTGCTAGCTTCTCCTCATTCGCTTAGTCCTTTGGAATGTTCTGCTCTGTCTGATTGTGAAACATGAAGCAAAATATGCTGGTATGAGAGAGTGTATGGAAGCATGAAATACTGCTTTACTGCAGCATGTGCTTTTGTTTTTTTTAATGATTATTATTATTTTTTTTAAGCTGTAACTGAAAACTCACCTGTGATGATGGTGCAAGTATGTACAGTTGTTCAGTTGTATCTGCAGTGATAAACGTGTGTTTCTAGTTGGACTTGCTGAAGTAACGCTATGAAGCATCACGGCACAACATCAGCATACACCGAGATGGGCACTGTAAGGCACTGCAAAGAAATTATTATTAATAATAAAGCCTACAGTCTACAATGGAGGAAAAAAGCTGGCTTTTGATTGCCCATTTGTTTTTTACCCAGAGAAAATTATGGATCTCATGAAAAAGTGAGAGAAACATCGTGAGCATGGTTTGTGTGCTAATAGAATTACCTTTGCAACATTGTATTATTATACTACAACATGACGAAACTTTGTGTCTTAAGTGACTTTGGACTCTGGCATATCAGGAAAAGTCCTTTTTTAGCTGCCAGCTCACTGTAGTTCCTGAAGAGACCTACATTTCCCTACCAGCACTTAATGACCTGCTTGCTGAAATTTCCCTGAATTGATATGAGGAGTGTATTTTGATCTACATTCTTCGCCTTATTGTTTTATTATTTTAAGCAGAACAGGTAAAGCTGGACCCCTGGGTTGGTGGAAAAATTACTGACTTTTGATGGACAAGTGAATAATAAGAGAAAAACGTGTCCTTTTCTGCAGCCATCTATTTTTGTGGCAAATCTGTGGGTTCCAGCAAGACTTTCATTGGCACTGGAACCAGAGTGGGCATTCAATGTTTATTGAACACTGCCACCAGTGGGCATCCAGAAAGGATGAGCAGGCCGTTCATTCAATTTTCTACTTAATTGCCCTTCAAGGGTTACTGTTATTACTCAATTTACAAAGCTTTCGAATTAGTCTAATAATTGTCAAATAAGCCAATTAGTGCTTGACTCCGGAAGCATCATTATCCCGATATCCCTCCTTTAAATATCTAAATCTTGGCAAATCATCAGGAATTTCCTGTCACTGGAGGTTGATTTCACTGACGCATTTTTCATGTGAATTAATGTTACTTGTGCCACATCGCAATCTCCTTCCACCAACATTGTAGAAATGATTTTTTTTTTGCACAACATTATTTTTTCCTTTGGTGAAAAAAGATAAAACACAATCAGGGATAAGCTGGCTTCATCCTTTTGTGGGACACATTGTGCATCTCCAGCAGTGGATTAGAGCAACTTGTGTTGGTACAACTGCAGAATACCAAAGAAAAACAAGAAAAAATCCAGAGCTGTGAATGTCCTTGGCTCTGCACACTGAGACACTGAGAATCACTGGTAAAGAGCCAAAGTAATTTTTTTGTATTGAGCTGCAGATAAAATAATAGGGACAGCTAGGAGAGTGGGGGGATCAAGCCCAAAATTAATGTGATATAGGATTAACCTTTACCACATATGGGGTATCAGATTCTGGCAGAGAAATTAATTGTGCAGTTGCTGATTAAAAGGAACCTTGGATAATCTATACCTTTTCATCAACATTCAGTACAGGCTTAGTGACAGTAATTGAGGTAAAAAAATATATTGCTTTTGGTTGATAATTCAACCATCCTTTACTGCAACAACGTCAGGTCTGAAAACTCTAAAATTCAATGTGGAGGAAATGGAAGCAGGATGATCTGAGACATTCAGTTCCAATAACTGTAACAGAATGCCATTGTGTGCAGGTTTTTGGTAGAAACTTCGCTTGCAGACACTGAGTATATGATACTGCTCTCTTATCACTGACAGCTAGTGCAGAACAGAACGATCCATTCGTTGATGTGTTGAACATCTTGAATATTTTTTGTTCGGTGTTACAGGTCTGTCGGGGAACCAGCTAACTTATACCTACAGTATTTCAGGGACCCAGTTATCCAGTTAGCTTGATCATTCAACCATTTTCCTACCGGATATGTAGGGGAAAGGGCATGTGGGCTTATCAGAGATGTATTTGTAGATGAACTTAACCTTTGTTCTTTGTTTCCGTTCAGCCTCCCCTCACCTGGTGGAGAAGCCAGCGGACATGCAGAAACCCATCGGCGATGTTCTGGTGTGGGAATGCAAGGCCACCGGGAAACCTAAGCCGTCGTACACCTGGCTGAAGAATGGAGAACCGTTAGAACCTCTGGAGGTGAGGGACCTGCAGACGGCCTGTCCTCAACGCCACAACCTGTGCATGTCTGTTTCATTAGAACACAAGAGAACACACTGTATAACAATTTGTATCTGTAGAGCAATCATGTTTAAATAAAAAAAAAACCAGTAAGGAAGCATTATCTTTCTATTGGCATAGCCTACAAATGTGGCTTATATGTAGATGGCGGCTGACAATCCTGTTTAATGCATACACGTTATTTCAAATTAGTGGGTCAAAAAGAGACTTTCCAGTCCTACTATAGGCTGATTATTGAATGCAAAATCTGCACATTTCATAGCATGGAATCTCGCAGGAAAATCATTCACTTTGAACTAATCGTCCTGACATCACAGCCAGTCCATGTATCAGAGGAGGTATGGAAGCCATTGTAGCGCCATTGTAAACGCGCTCCACACATAGGTTGCAGCAAAGCGTTCTGAGCAGTTAACAGAAATGTGAATTGAACGAAAGGATCTCCAACCACTGGACCATTTTCCATAAAATATGAAAAATTCCTAAGCACTAGGACAATTCTGGAGCCGCCGCCACAGAGAAATACTAGGGGGGGCCTGACATGCATACAAAAAGGATTTTTGTAATTCATCAGTGAGGGCACAGCGGCCATTTCTGCTTTGCATGAAGAAGGCTGCTTGTTTGAAGAACAGACCAAACAGTGGCCTTTTTTTTTTCTTTTTTATGTTGGTTGTAAAGTATGCTGAGGTAAGCCCTGCAGTAATCTTGTGGTAAATCTCTCACAGCTCAGAGTAACAGCATTAAATCACAATGTTCCCCAGGGTAAGAAAAACAAGATGTCTTATCAGCCTGGTCTTTGAGATTAATCTGTTTCAATTTAATGCAATTAAGTATTTATAGAGGTATAAATAACCCCCAAAACTTAGAATACTCCAATATTTTCAATGGCAGCTTTTTGTATCAAAGGAAACCATTGTAATTACTTGTTTGACTGCATTGAAACAATGAACAACCTACCTACTCCACGGGTATACAGGTCAAGGACTGACAACAGCGGAACCAATTTTGCCTGTTTAATGTAAAATAGAATAAGTATAATACAGCTTAACAGTTGACTGGGATACATCCATGAGTAGATTGCAAGTGGCTTTGCAGAGCAGGGTGTTAAGTCTGTCCATTCAATTTGCTATGGGTGTCAAAATGTTCAATATTACAGTTAAAATACTGGAAGAGGGAGTTTGCTTTTCTCTCCCCTGCAAGCAGAACTTTTCGGGTTCTTGCACGTTGACGTGTGGCTCTAGGAGAGAGCGGTAGTTTGACTGAGACGTGAGTTGGTCTCTGCCATCACTGACTTATAACGACGCAGATTTCAGAGCAGGGAAGAAAAATTGTTGTGATTGTAATATTAACAAGCTCCCTGAGTATTCTGGCAGAATAATGAGACAAGGCGTTGGAGTCTCCCAAATGTCACTGTTAACAGCTGCAGTTTTAATCACTGTCCAAACCAAAGGTCAGGACTCAGCGGTGAATGGGGGGGGCTGAGGTCAGGTGCTGTTCATTACCAGCAGAGGAGACGGGCATCCCTCTGTTCTGCATTTCAGCAGGTCTGAGACCAATTGCGAATTTGGGACGGCTAGTTGAGCGGATCTTCCTCCCTACTGGCTGAGTTTTGTTTTTGTGTTATGTTCTCATTTCCACTGGCAAGTAACTTTGCATGCTGTTGTCGGTTTTTTTTTTTCTGCCCCAAAATGTTACACGCACAGAAATTAGTGAGCACTTGAGTTTTTATTTTTTGTTTTTTGTCTTTGGTATTTTGGCTGAGTTGGAATCAATCATACCCTACAGATGGTTTGTCGCATCAGCATGAGAAACTGCTGATTTTAGGGGCGCATCAGGCTTAATTAATGGCAGATGTTAGGCTCATGCCTGCCCTAGAGTGCCAGGAGCCAAATACCCACTTACTGAGCCAGATCCTGGGGTGCGCCCCCTACAGGACTGTCCAGCTCACTGCAGTGTGACAACTAAAACCTTTCTAATCTCACCTGCCGCTTTCTTTAGCTGGGCCCTCACTCTGCCACAGAGCTTCCTGCTTTGGTTCTGACACTGTCCGTGGCCCCCTCAGCATCCCGCGTCATGTGATGTCTGACACAGAAGGTGGTGACACAGGGTGGTCAGTCACCCGAATGTAATATTCCCGTTTGCTAATCGCACAGCACAAAAGTAGCAGCTTCACCCCTTCGCTGTAGTGCACACTGACAAAACCTTATTTTAAAGTAAAAACGGGGACCTCTAAAATTAAAATGACAGAAAGCAGCTGTCAGACAGACAGTGGGTTTCATGATTTCTGGTCAAGCCTCTGAGAGGGTTTCCTATATTTACATTTAATTCACTTATTGTGGGGCTCTTATCCAGAAGTCACTTTGTCACAAAAGCAATATCTTGACATGCAAGCACTGGTGTACAGAGGTTACACGTTGACGGTGTTCCTGCTAATGAAGAGCTTCTTCTGAGAGAGTGTGAAAGCAATCCCGCTACAGACAGATTGCTGGTAAATTAGCTTCATGAGGAAGCTGCCAGGTGATCTGGCCTTAAGCACCTCCACCTACCCCCACCCCCCCACCTTCTCCACACCACCAACCCCTATTCACCCGTCTAAATTTTAACTCTCAAAAATGTGTTGGGGAAGGTGTGGCTGGAGACGGGACAGGGCGGTGCTGCGGCCTCACGCTTAGCAGACAGCGTGTGATTATGGTCGCTTCCTGCGGTCCCCCTTCCTTCATTAGCGACACGCCTCCGGGTTTATAACACCCCGGATAACGAGCGGGGCTGCCCCCTCAGACCAGGATGCTGATGGCAGTCGTGCCGTTTGTGCCGTCCTCCCCCACAGGACAGAGTGCAGGTTGTTAATGGCGTGCTCACCATCAGCAGCTTGACCTTGTCGGACGCGGGAATGTACCAGTGCGTGGCGGGGAACAAGCATGGAGAGCTGTACACCAACGCCGAGCTTCGGGTGATCGGTAAGGAGAAACACGACCCCATGTCTGCTTGGCTATTTGTGTGTGTAAGTACCTCATGAAGGTCTCCTGCATGTGCTGTCTATTACTCTAACGGGAGAAGGCCAAGCTGTGTATCATATTACATTTGATGAAACTGCGTTCTGCTCTGCCGTGCATTTTTAGAGTGAGATGAAATACCTTTGTCTAACTGGTACTGTAGGTTACAGGTTCAAGTCCCAAGCACGTGCTCTGAGGGTGAATAGAAAAAAGGAATTACAGCCTGTGTGATAATCTGCTGTACTTGTCCATAGCTTAGTACTAATTCAATTTTGCAGTAGGTAAATAGATAGAAAGAGTAATTCAGGTTCGGAGAGTAAAAGTCCAGATGAAGATTTTGTTTTAACCAACCAGTTGAGCATAAAGAGTCACAGTCACAGAGTACTCAACTGGTTGGCTGAAACAAAATCCCGGTTTAGAGGTCTACTCTCTGGAACTGAATTACCCAACTCTGTATATCAGTGTTTCTCAACCCAGTCCTCAGCGAACCCCAGCCAGTCCACGTTTTTGCTCCCTCCCAGCTCCCAGCGCACCTGTACCAGCTATTCGGTGTTCCTGACTGGCTGGGAGCTGGGAGGGAGCAAAAACGTGGACTGGCTGGGGTTCGCTGAGGACTGGGTTGAGAAACACTGCTGTATATAGATCAGCACCACTATAATGTATCTAAAGAAACCGTTTAGCCATAACAAAATGAAAACCCAGATCCTAGTGTGTGTTAGATGTGGTGAGTGATGTGCCGCACAGCGGTGAATGGCTCTGGTGATTAACGCAAAGGCTTCCCTGCATTTAGCTCTCTATAGATGGGCATTCAGTGGAGAGAGAGAATGGAGGCCTTATCCGTTAAATAATCCTTCAGAGATGGATAAATGGACTTTTGTTGAGCTCCTGTATCGAATCCTAGCAAGCATATAAGCATAATAGTCTAAATTTCTAGTATATAAAAACTTTGCAGGCGTTTACATTGCAAATGAAACATATATCAGATGTATTGATGTAAACACTTTGACAAATATGGTTAATGCATAATATTTTGCTATGATATGACGTATATATTACTGTATTTAATGATATATTTTCAAAACAGTGAAATGCAGGTCTGAGAATACTGCAAGCAGTTTAATCAGTGTAATGAAGTCCCATCATAGAGATGCTGGATGCTTTTTTATAGAACATGGTGCAAGGACTGTGATTGATGTGAGTCAGAGCCGGGACTTGTAACATTAATAAACTTCTATTGAACGCGATATGTTGAGAAAGACACACAGCTTTGCTTGTCTGGTAGAATCCTTCCTTGTAGTAGAGGCTGTTGATGTATGATATGCTGGGCTGTGTGCTATGTGCTGAGAGTTGATTGGCTCTGGTTCTTGCTGGTTCTTGTTAACCTATGGCTTTAGAACCTGCCCCGCCCCCCACCCAGGCTTCACATGGCGAATGTTATTCCTCTGCCTTCAGCTTATCCTAATTGATAGAAACTTTTCTTCTTTGCAGGGTTGCCCTGTCTACATGTTGTGGAAGCTTGAACTAATAATTTAGTTGATATTTTTTTAATAAACTCTAGCTTACTGTGTCACAAGGTGATTATGTTGTGTAATATCCACAGAGAGACACTTGTATATTCTAAATGGGTAAATTTTATACAAAGTTAACGCGACCTCTCTTCCCTCGTTGTCACGCAGCCATTGCCCCGGACTTCTCCCAGAACCCACTGGCAAGCGTCACTCTCGGGCGGGAGGGGGGGCACGTGGAAATTGAATGTCGTCCCCGGATGTCACCACGTGGGGTGATTTCCTGGCAGAAGGGCAAGGAGGCATTGCGTGAGAGTCACAGGTATGGGTGCCCAGGTCCGGACCCTACACACCCAGGCGCAGAAAGCAATCCCCTCCACCGTCTCCACATACATATATTCACCTGTCTTCAGTCTATCGACAGTCTTTAAACATTGCCCTGTCGATCCAACGGACCAATAAAAACATTCAAATTTTTCAAAGTCGATTGCAACAGTACGCTTTTTAAATTTGTCTAACTATACTTCAGTCGAGTTTTATTGTGATACATTTACACAGTTAACCTTGCTGTTGTACACTGTTTTGCACTGTTTTTTATACAGTACTGTATTGCTATCCAACTGGTATCTTGAGGCACTAAATCCAGTTGAAACAATAGCTTACAAAAAAACTTGATGGAAACGCAAAACCTCTGTTTTTCTTTCCTGGTCGAGTAACAGTGTTCTGCCGATAGACAAACTCCAGAACAGGATGCAATTTTTCAACTTTTCTGCAGCAAGAATGAATGTATATTTACACGTGGTGTTCTACATTTGCCTTGTTCTTGGGAAGACACAAGAAGTAGATAATGGTTACTGCAGCCATGCGACACGCATATGCATATGAAAGTAAGCAGGAAGCGCAGTGTTACTTGCCTCTGTTACCAGTGCGGATGGTACGGTAATTTAAGGATACATTTTCAGTTTGTCAGTGTTTTTTTAGCACTCATCAAATTTTCACACATGCACACTAAATCCATTTCAGTAGATTAATCAGGCAGCCAGCACAGACACGCCCCGCAAAGGCCTTTTTACATATTATGAGAGTAAATTATGGTTCATGCGTCATATTCTATCACATAAGCTATATCTGTCATTTTTCTTTAGATGCGAGACCCTGCAGCAAAAATGTATTTTATTGCGCTTCACTGAAAGCCACCAATTTCCTACCTGTATTGGCCTTTAGAACCTCATACCGTATATTGGCAATTGTGGAAAAATGCTGCCCATTTACATGCACAGCCATTTTCCATTTAGCAGAGAGCTTTTCTAAAGATACCATACATCTTATCAGCATGGTACATCATATTTTTCCCAGCGTGTGCAGCCAGACGCAGGCTTGCGCTCCCTCCCCTTTAGCACCATGCATCTTTTTTTCTGTTCTGCATCCATTCTGATCGTCTGTTGTTAACTCCAGCCAGAGGCCCATTAGAGCGAAAGGCGGTGAGGGCGGTTAATATACTGGAGGCTTCTTGCTTTCCCAGAAACCGTCAGTAAACAGCGAAGTAAGAGGGTTGAACACCAGCTCGAGACTGAGCTGCGTTGGGAAGACAGGAAAATGCCTGAACTCGTTACGTACAAAGGCAGGTACCGAGTGGTGTGCAGGTCTTAGCAGGTCTTAGCAGGTCTTAGCATGCTCGCGCGTATGACAGTTCCTTGAGTTGATTAAGCATTCTATTCCATTCACTCCCCAATGTAAGAGCAACGTTTGCTGGAGGGGGATGTTAATTGAAATCAACAGGTAACTAACATTTCGTTGCTGTTCCTTATATGGACGTCAAGGTTTATGTAGCGCGGCCTGTATCCGCACAGCTGGGGCGCTGGGCACAGCAGAGTTTTACCTATCCCCTTTCCGCTATAGAACTCCCTCCAGCTCATGGCACTAGCAGCAGCAGCAATGTGGCTGCATGTGGCCCATTTGCATGCACCCCTCTTAACCTCCCCGCCACTCCGGGTGGTGTAGTGGGGGGGTATCCTTAGGGAGGGAGCAGCTGGCAGGATGCTGGATTACTGCCGGTGGGTTTAAGCACTTAGATCTGTGACTGCTAAATCCCAGAAGAGCATCTAGTGTCAAAACATTGGATATAGTTCCTTCTCTTAGATTAACACAGTCAATATCTAGCATACTTGAATGCTGCACATTTAAAAGCAAAATTTTTGATAAAAGCTCAGTTTGGAACCAATGGAAAAACATAATGATGCTGCTTCCTTGGTTTGCTCCACTATAAACACATCCAGGCACTGCTGAGGCTCAGCTTTTCACCTAGAGACGTGTACAGGGAGAGAACTCCCATGTGAAGCACTGGGAACTTCCACTGGCAGAAACACTGCAGTCTCGTAGTCATGACCCCGTGATTTCACACTTCTAATATTCCCTTGCATGCACTCTCTAGAGCACTCCAGTCAAGCTCCAGTACTCCATCACATTATACGTGTGCAAATATACAAGCTGCCTACTGCACTGCGTGGCATGTTTACAATGCACAGGTGCACAGACTGCATGAATACTGCGGCATAAGACAGAAATCGCAATATCCAGAAAGGCTGCTTAGTTGTCTGCTTGCAGTTTCTGTTTTGGTATCGGTTTTGGTAAAAGTGCACATCAGGACTATATAATTCTCCTGTTAAATCCGCCTGAAGAGTTTACAGCATGACTGGGAAATGAACAGAGTCTGTAAAGAAGACTCATCAGGGAGTTTGGATGGAAATTTTAACACGTGTACAAGCTCCAAATATATCTAAAAATTAGCCTTTGGAGGAAATCCCTTTTGAATTTCCTGTGCTGAAAGGAAAAGTCTGGAGGTGCTTATATTTCTACTGTTCTCCACATTCAGCAGAGAGCATTTTTGACTGTGTGGTGCTGATGTGGTCACCAGGAAGGTGCCATTCCCCACGCCGACCAAGCGTCCGCTCCCTGCGATGCCTTAAATGAAGCAGCACTGACATAATGGGAATGAAGTGGGCGCAGTGCGCAGACGTGCATGGGCGCCAGTCCTGAGAGGCAGCGTTCACATCTCTGGCGCCATGAATCTCATAAATCGCATTATCGGTGTTCATTTTTCACAAGGTTTGGAGTGTGGGGTGGGCTGGGGTGTTGGTGGAGAGGGAGGGAGGGAGGAAGGGAGACTTGTGTCACCAGCTGGGTGATCCATCTTCTCCACAGTTGCCTTCCCCCCGACTGATGCAATGGTGATGACATCAGCGGGAACAAGCAAGCTGAGAGGGCACTTCTGGGCCTGAGGTGTGGCTGATGAGCATGCAAGTGCACGCTGTGTCAGCCCTGTAGGTTGCAGCCAAAGATAACTCTTTTTAATACAACACACACATAGACGCACTTTGTTGCTTTGTTTCTTGGTAACGATCTACTCTGGATGCTTCTTCTAACAATAGCTCCTTAGAAATCTTGTCCTGTTTTATGTACTTGTCAACTTCATGTCTCTGAGCTACATCTAAGGAAAGAATTGGGTTGATGTGTTAATACAGGCACACGCAAATCTGCGTCTGAAAGATGAGACTGCTGTGTTGTTTTATACTATGTGAATACGCTGTAGTTCAGGTGCTTACTCTCTGAACTATGAGGATCCTAATGTTAGTGGATATAAACAGATTTTGAACAAGTTTTAATATATGTAATATAAATGTCATATACGAAGAAATGAAAAAGCATTGTGTAGTATATAGGATTACCCACTGAGTGCATAAATAATGCTATTGTTTCTTTTTTTTTCTTGCTTTGTTTCTTACTTTATACTGATCACATACAAAGCTTTAGGATAGAAAGATTCCATTATAAAGTCATGCTACCAAAGTTACAAAGTTCAAATAATATAATTGTATATTTTTAAGATTATATTATATCCATTATAGCATAATTTGTGTTTTATGTCATCGACAGTCAGCTTCTATAATATACAGCGCTGTTTTACCTATTACCGAATGAAGCAATTTCTGGACAGAATATAGCTCTAGTATTTCCCATCCAGCAGTTTTGGTATTTTCAACTTAATGTTGGTTCTGTTCTTCAGCTGCAGAAAACCACACGGGTAAGTCAAGCTGCATCCTATTTATTTTTCATGAGTTACAACAATAAGAAGAGAATCTGTGATGCAGGCTAAATTTATTTCATCTAATGAAGCGTGTATTCACTACTGCTGCCCACAAAGGCATACGATTCTAACTCTTTGATAGGTTCTTTGAATAATCTGTCTCTCCTGATTCAGAGATTAACAATGTGCTGTGCTACAGAACTGCATTGTGACTTTCGGTGTGTGAGTATAATAATTTTCTCTTTTATAACCTTGTATTTAGTTGTACCGGACATCCTACTCCATGCAGCTCTTAAGCATGCGGGCGAGCAGGTCTAAAGGGCAGGAGTAATCTTCTAACTCTTTGGCAATAGGTGATGTGACAAGCGTATAAGCCTCTGAGTACAGCACCAGGCTGGAGTGACCCTGCAATGTAGAGAAACATCCATGTATTATCCGAGACAGGGTTACAGTGAGCATGGGGTTATGTCAGGAAAGGCAAGGCATAAGGCCAGGGATATACTGGATGGGATGCCAGCCACACAATCATACACACCATGGGCAATTTGGAAAGGTACATTCACCTATATACTGATATTTTATGTGTGGGGGGGGGGGTGCCAGCAGTGCCACAAAGAACTGAGGGCGGGGGTTGAACCCACAACCTTGTGGCAACAGAGAAAACCACTGCATCGTGTACAGGGACTCTCCTGCTGCACTTTCATCATTGCTAAAATGTGAAAGTCTTACATAAGGCAGCACATTATAGCAGATAACTGTCAAGATGTCAGTCCAGTTAACTGCTCAGCAAAAGCAAATTAAGCAAAATATGGGAGAGAAGGAACATTCCTAAGCCTCATTTGTCTTCCGGATTACAATGGACAACCAGCTATTTAGGTAGCATTTGACATTCATAATGATGTTGAGTATTAAACAGTTGTGTTGAAGAGCCTTTACTACAGAGATATAAGCAGCCTTTCTGAGAAAACACCATAATAGTTATTCTAACTTACCATTAAAAATATCATCTGTATTCAGACTAGTGGTAATTATATCTATGTCTGTTTGAAAACGTCTCCATCAAGCCTGCACACCAGTTTGGTGATTTTTTGTGTGAATTAAATGCATTCTTACTATGATTCAGTCCTTAAAAAAATTTGTTTGATTATACACTTGATCATTCTGAGTAAAATGTTTTAGTTGTGTTGTGATGGGAGAGACTCCCTTTCTCAGAGTTAGTGAACAGTTAGCTGCTAAGA